CAGCTTCATTAGAACATGACTCAGCTCCATTTGTCATCATCAACATTTCATATGTCAGACTGAAGGCTGTATGTCTTTATCTGTACGTTAAATAATAGTCTCATTTGATTAAAGCTGCATTCGTTGTTTTTTGGGCAAGTGTACAGGAGGGTTATGTGTTGCACTATTTCTAGGTAAAAAAGCGAGCTTCATAAAGACATGACAGTGGTATCGATCTTATCATCTAACTCTCATTGTGTGGATGGCATGCAGAGGCACACACCCACTTTGTTTATGGCTGTAGTTTTTAGGCGTTTTTAAATTAAATGAAAGCTATGTATGTCTGACGAGATCTGAAGAAGCACCTTTTTAAACAGATTTATGTACCACTGTAAAGACGGAATTTATGATATATATATATAATAGGGGAGATTATTTTTTTACTGTGACCATTATGGAGAAATATTGCATTCTGTCATGATATCATATTGTTAGAAACACACAATAAAACATAAACACCAACACATTGTGACCAGTCACCATGGCTAATAGAACAGTAAAATGAGCAGCTGATCCCAGAGCTGTGCAGGAGAACTGATCTAATTAGCCCAGCTATGTAAATAGTGGTTAATGCTCCTCATTGTCTTCCAGCTCTATCAGTCCTTCATTATGTACGTATATTATACCGGACTGGACTGGACTAGACTGGACAGGATAGATAATGTAGGCATAAGGTGATCACAAGCGGATCCTCTCCACAACGGAACACATTTCTAGGTCCAGTGTGGACAGAAAGTTAAAAAGACAAAACAAGTTGGAGCACTTCTTTATTGCTAAAACACAATTGGTCCAATTCCAGTCCGGCCCCTACACCCTTCTTATTGCATGCCCCCACCTAAAACTGCTGTATTCTGTGTTTTTACCCGTTTTAAGGAGACCTTTGCGGAGAATTTAGCTCCTGGTAGAAACCTCCTGCACATCCACGCAAACGGAGTGAGAGTGGGTAGGGGAAGGGTGTAGGGGCCAGCTTGGAATTGGGCCATTGGCTCAATTTGGGTACATCCCTACCACAGACCATCAAGCCAATCATCAACAAGGAGCCGCATGCAGTCAGTTCGACCGCAGACCGTGATGTTTCTCGTTCAAACAACCAATTTACTGGCCACAATTACATAATTGCAGAAGTTTGCAGGTGTTGCGCATGTTTGCAGAGCCAGTCACAAAAAAACCTGTAGCAGGCCTCACAGAGTTAGGTTGTAAGTGCAGATGGACGCAGCGCTGAAGCAGATATGTGAGCAGTGTGTTGGATTTAGCCGCTTTAGCTCCTGGTGTTTGTTTTGACACTCACACAGATTAGAACACTGTTACTGTACATTACTGGGTGTGTGTGTGGGGGTGTGTGTGTGAGAGAGGAGGGTCAGGGGGGTGTTAGAGCCTGTTTGCCCTAATTGTTGAATGTTCCTGGTTTGTGTGTGTGTGGAGATTACAGTGTGTTCTGTGGTATTAAAGGGCTTAGAGAGGGACGTGATGGTCTGATCGCCGAGTATTTTCCTGGATGGTCTGACACACACACACACACACACGCACACACACACACAAACATACACACATACACAAAACATACATTCTTCACAGCTTCTTCACAAAATATCCTTACCTACATTTCTTCACATATTAACACACATTAACCGTGTTTGTCATTTATACTCACAGGCACATGCGTGCACTTGTGTAGTTGTGAGGAACATCACAAAATTCTCTACTGTAAATCATTAGAAGGCCTTGACTTGCAACCAAGGCCCCTGAAGTATATCAGACCACCAGAACAGGACTGAACCTAATTGTACCCTTAACCTCAAAACCAGACTATTATTGCGTGTGTGTGTGTGTGTGTGAGACAGCAGTCAAACTGCTGTATTCAGTGAGTTCTGACTGACATCTAGTGGATAGTTCTAGTATTTAACATATTTCTGACTTAACTGATTCACATTTTCACAGCATTTCTGTCAGTTCTGAAAATATTTTACTCACTTAACTCATTATTGAGTTTTAAAAGCATGGTGACGTCACTACAAAACATCTTTATGCTTTGACCTTTTAATGTTCCAGCAGCCTTAATCTGGCACAACTGTTTTGTGAAACAGTGAAAAGGATTATTTTCATTATCAATAAATCTGACTTTATTTCAAATAACCAATTAGTTGTTTGGTCTACAAAATATTGAAGATTGAGATGCATTGTCAGTCTAAAACCCAAAGATATTCCATTACAAACAAAACATAGAAATAAAGCAAACTGTCCCAAATGCAGAGATGGAATATTCTCTATTTTTTAAATTAATAATCAAAGTGATTAGTTCATTTTTGTTAATAGACTAACAATTAATTAACCAACTGTTTTAGCTCAATTTATTTTTTGCTCATTCTTACACTAGAATGTTTAAAATTGGATATCTGGAAGGGACCTATCTCTTTCAGAGTACTATGATGTCAAACCAGGGGCAGTTTAGTGGCATGCAATTTGGTGTCGAATGTTGTCTAATTTAGCATTTAAACACATGTAATCAAACATGTAATCATCATTATCAGATCATTAAGATCTGTTATGGCCACCGATCGGCTTAACTCAAATTTTTTTTTTCTTTCTTTTCCTAATTCCACCTTTAGATATTTCTTTTCAATCCTATTCTAATGTTTTAGAGTTCAAATGTCTTAATTTGGGGGATTTTCTAAGCAAATATTGATATACTGTGATTGTTTGTGCATTAATCAGCATATATTTCTGCCACCCTTAAAGTCTCATGCCACCCTCTGGACACACCATGAATATTTCTCTAGATCCACCCTGTGCAAAACTAGTGCGTTATAATGAAAGAGAAAATAAATGCATTTTGTTCAGTTATTCAATTTTAAGAAAGTGCTGAAGTGTATAAAATTCAAAGACTCCTGGAATATTTACCAAATAGAAGCTTATTGCCCAACATTAAATATCCCAACAGACTCAACTGAACATTATGTGCCATGGACTGCTTCAACAATAAATGTAACCATATTTAATTTCTACATCTACAGTTTAGTCTTTAGTCAAAGCTGCTCGAATATTTGCACACCATTTTTACTTGCATATTGCATATAGTGTATATACTTTCATTTATAGTCTCATATTTTCTATTATATTTTGTAATACTCTTATTTTGTTATATCTTATTGTACTTTCACTTACACCACATTTCACTATGCTGCTGTGTCTAATTTGGATTTCTCCTACGGTGGATCAATAAAGGTATCCTATCTTATCTATAAAACAATGTCATATTATATGTAAGCATGTTTTTAAACTGTAAAAGTGGTTATAATAAATATCTTAAATGACAATGTGACCGTGTGTGTGTGTCTCTGGTAGAGAATTATCAGCTGAATCTGCAGCTCCCCTCGGCTTTACTGAGCTTTATAAAGAGTTTCAGCTCATTGGTTGGTCATCTGTCCGGACTTAACTTTACTGTTCTGGTTCACTGTCAGCGCTCTCATAGCAACCTTGTTTAGAAAAAGAAAAAAAGCTGTACACTACCTGCTCAGCCGCAGCAAACAGCCGACAGACACAGTTAGAGACTATCTGGTGAACATAGTGACATTTAGCAGCTAAAGAGACAGATATTTCCCTCAGGAGTTGGTAGAAACCAAAAACAGCTAAAAGAGAGTGAAAATTGGACCAGATACAGGCTCAGCTAATAGGACTGCTTGCATGGCTAACTAGCTAACGGCAGCTACACTTAGCAGCTAAAGTAACCACTAAAAACAAGCGAACTAATCTGTCTGTCAGGAAACTTAAATTACTGAAAGTTGCAGCAGAGCAGCCGGAGGACACCAGAGGGAACATAGTTTATCTATAAAATATGATCCACTTTCACCTAAATTAGTGAATAAAGCTGTAAAGGTTGTGTGTTTTTGTACAGTAATCATCAGTGAGGCACAGCCAAGTCTTCTTTATTTTTAATTCTGCTCTCATTTGTGGTCAGATAAACAGTAAACTAATCAAATCCAGTGTCCAATATTGCTAGTTTCAGCAAAACAAGTGAATAAAGATATAAAGATGTGTTTTGATACAGTTAAGCCCTGCCGGTTTTTTTCACTGGCACATGCTCTTGCGGAGGTCCATTTTGTCTGCAGTTAGGTACTGTTTTAAATATCTGTTTAATGTGTTTTCTGCATCCAGACATAATTGTTCAAGAGAGAAACTCAATGAGAATTTTTTCCCCACCCCAACTCTTTATCAGCTAGTTTTGGTGCTCAACCTGATACCGGTCTCTGTTGCTATGCTGTGAGCCCTGGCCTTTACTACATTACTGATTTTACTGATGTGGAAGCACACCTCTCCCCCTCAGGATCATTGTATTAAGGAAGATCTAAATAATATTAAACTTGAGAAACTCAGAATCTTCCTCGTGGGCTCAATCAATCAATCAATCAAGTAATCTGGAACCCCTTTATTAGATTATATTGACCTGCTTAACATTTCAACAGACACAGAAGAGTAAACAAGAGTGAACAACTCTCCTCCCCCATACATTTCCTAACTGCTCTTTTTTTTTCATTCCTTTTTTTCATTCCTTTTTCTCAGTTTTTTCTTTATGTGGTTTTCCTGAACTAAGCATGAGGATTTGGAAATGTCCTGTTTTGTTTTGTACATCCTGACTGTTGAATGACCCTAAAAATAATTAATAAACAGTTTGGGGGGGGGGACATAGTCTCAGCTGTGTCCACACATTTAAAACCTACCGAACCAACTCTGTCAGCCATGTATTGGTCAGAACGGTTCCTACTTGGTTCTCTGGTGCCAGAACGCAGCCCAGAGTGCCGACACTATCGGCCCAACTTGACTGGAAACCTGTGATGCACATACCAGCAGGAACACTAATATCTGTCAATGTGAATAGCAACACAGTGTTTGTAGTTTTAATGGACTACAAAGACCATCAGCACAGACTGGATGGCCACTATGGTGATTGTGGGGAGATTTTCCTTTAAAGAGTCTGGAGGAAGACATGACCATGTTGGTGCAGAGAGGTGAAGAAGAACAGAGAGAGGGAGAGAGAGAGAGAGAGAGGGAGAGAGAGAGAGAGAGCACAGCGAGCATTCACTCATTCTTTCGCCTCCTCAGTTAAAGGGGCAGTTTCTGTTTTTCTCTCAGGATGTCTGAAGGTGAATCAGCAGGAACCAAACTTGCGTCGGTGGACTTTGAGATCTTCGGTCACGTTCAGGGTCTGTATGTTTAACTCTCCCCCCTCTCCTTCTCCTCTTTTCTGCTCTGCTCGCTGAGCCAAGGCTGTAAACTGATCTGCTGCTGCTTAATTTAGGAACGAGCACAGTCCTGCGGCTGCAGGCGGGACAGAATCTCACTGCACTTTTACTTCCTGCAGCTTTAGGACATGTTATGAATTTACCACATAATATAATGAGCTCTTGGAAATGAGAAAAGCTCAAACATTTAGTATTGAACATACACACAGCAAAATGTATTTCATAAACAGACTAATTAATAATAATTCATATTTACTGTTTTCTAATGACATATTTTAATTAATTTTCTCTCTTTTAAATTTCAACAGGAGTCTGTTTCAGAATGGTGAGTTTTTCTGAGGTTGTTTGCTGCAGTCCCAGTGTTTATACTTTAAGTACATTTTACTAATTACATATACATAGTTTTACTTAAAGTAGTGGTTCCCAACATTTTTCCTTTTTTCCCCCTACACAATAAACTGATGACCCCCGGCTAAGTGACATATTTTATGGATATATCATATTATATTCAATGTATAACAATAACAGTGTACCATGGAAATGTCCTGCTGTACAGTAAATTTGAGCAGATTATTTCCTGTGAATATTTAATCTATTATCTGTTATATTTTCTTTATGTAAAAGTACTTGAGTAAATATGTGGGCTTGGTTATTGACTTTCACATTTACGCTGGATCCAGAGCACTGCTGGGGGCCGACACAGTTCAGCACCACTGCCTTCACTGAGATATTATTTTGTCATCTGATCTGTAATAAAATACTCTGAGGCTCCAATTTATCAGATTTTTCTGGAGCATTTGACTATATTTAACAGCCTTCTTCAGAAAATGGAATTCACTGATTGTGCCTGAACCCTCAAAGACTCTGTGTGCTGTTTATGATTTTGGATTTCCTCTGCCACTGTAGAGCGCAATGAATGGTTTGTAATTTCTTTAAAAGAGTCTGTAGAACTGCAAAAAGGCTCAAATGGCATCAAAGGAACCCTCAAGGGCTTTTTAATTTCACTGTGTCACAGAGCTGAGCCCAGAAAGGGGGACATTAGAACAGGACCTGATTTTCTGCCACAGAGTCCATTGGTCTGTGTAGTCTGTCCTGATACAGCAGCCTGCCTGCCTCAGCCCCTGATGGTTCTGTTTGGACTGATCTCTCCTTGTCGACCTTCTGCGAGCCACTTAATCAGCTACTTTACTGTCCAAGTCTGCCTTTTTGATTCAGACTGTGCTCAGCTGTTACAGTGTCAACCCACACCAATTCCAAGAGACACAGTTTGTCACCCCTCAGCAGGCTGTCTGAGTCTGTAGCTATTGCTCTTTTTCTGATATTATCTATCTTTTATCTTGTTGTGTTAAAGGACCAATGAGTAGGATTTAGTGGCATATATTGGTTGCAGATTGCAACTCACTTGCTTCACCCTCACTAAAACACATAAAAAACATGCATGGCCCTGTCTAGAGACAGTGTTTGGTTTGTCTGTTCTGGGCTGAAGGAAAATGAAAGTTCAACTTGGTAGACTCCACAGAAGATGACCCATTCTCGCTCTAGATAAAAACGGATCATTCTAAGGTTAATTATTATAATATATAATATAGATTATATTCCATTTCTGTCAATAGATCCTCCTCAGTGTTATACACTGGACCTTTAAGAAAACTTTATTGTGCAAGTATGTACAATATTAACCCCTTCTTTCCTCACTCCCTGCAGTACACAGAGAAGGAGGGTTTGCGGCTGGGTCTGGTCGGCTGGGTGAAGAACACCTACAGTGGGACGGTGGTGGGACAGGTCCAGGGTCCTGCAGACATGGTGGAGGAGATGTGAGTGCACATTGTCATACTGTGACACAAAAGAATGGAATACAATACAATTTCTTATTTCGCTTTTTTTTATATAAAAATGTAAAAAAAAAAAAAAAACCTGCACATCTGAATGTGTGAGAGGTGTGCTAGAGGTAGGAACAACTTTAATTAAGTTTAAAAAAAACTCACACAGTGTCTTTACTGCTGTTTTTTTAATCTATCATGTATATACATGAATACAGATGAAGACTGTGCAGAGCAAAACATTGCTCAAACAAGACACAGGAGAAAAATACAAATTCCGTGATTTAAAAGGACTGCGGTCTGCTTTGATTTTCCATTCAACCCTTACACTGTTGTTTTTTTTATTATTTTCAACCACTAGATGGTGGTCTTTACTTTCACAACATAACTGACCAGTCTTCCTTCAGTTAAGATAGGTGCAATCTGTGCAGGTTTCCCTGCTATTCAAATTCAAGTGTGTGTTGTCGCCTTTCTATATTTTATCAAAATAGTTGAGGAGGAAATAAGGTTGTTTTTTTTTACAGAATGACCTGATCAGAAACCAGTTCATGAACACATCACTGCAGACTGTTGCGTTTTTGTTGCCTTTCTGTCTCTTCCTCCACTGAGTTAATGGTAATAAGCAATAATCAGTGATGAGACTGGAGCTCAGTTTGTTTTGACGTCCCCTGTCCGGTGGGAGTGATGTCACCAGGTTGTGGACATCTCATTTAGATGACATCACTGCCTCCAGGGATCTGTGACACACACACAAACACACACACTTGACAAGTGTGAAACAGTGATATAATTCTTGGTGTTTGTTTTCAGCTCTTTGCAGCACCAGGCGGGTGGAGTTTAGTTTAGGATCTTTTGGCATTGGCACCATAGTTTCTCTTTAACTCTTGGAAGGGAAAGGTGAAGCAAGGGAGCAATCTGTAACTGCTAGATGCCACTAAATCCTACACACTTGTCCTTTAATTCACTGAGTTAGATGTGAAAATATTTGTGAAAATAGCTGCAAGGGCTGCACCGTAGGCTAACACCTGTATAATATGACCATCAAAAGTGTCTGACAACATTAATGAATCTTTAGTTTAACCAGAAACAGCCCTAATATCACTAATCACTCGCCACCAGACTCCATAGACAAAAAATGGTAATTTATACTTTGCATACCAGCTTAGCTACTTAACTTCATTCAAAATGGACAGAAACAAAATAAAACTCAGCACAAACATCTTTCTTAGTCTTTCCACTGTTCCAACAAATGAAATAAATCTTTAATTCTCCGACATAGCTGATAAAAACAGCAGTTTCAGTCACTCTGCTCAGCTGCACACTGTGCAGACCGGCTATGCAAGCAAACCACAGAGAGACTGTGATAGCAACACAGTCAGAGGGAGTGACACACCATGACTCCACTATATCTTTACATAGAGAATAGTTATTTATGACCACATCAAAGCTCATCATATCATGTATATATATAACCTTTAAGAGTTGGGTGGCACACAGTACCATGACATGAAGCAGATTTTCTGTATCAGAAGATCAAATCCTGTCTTTGGACTTTTGATTACATTTGGTTCAAGACTCAAGGAACAGAAAGGAGAGTTTGATTTAATAATAGAAGGAAATAAAAGCTGATTTCAGTTTGGTGTTTGGTTGAATAGCTATTAATCATTTTTAACCTCACTGTGACTTTTATAAACAGACTGAAAACACTCGCTTTCATTCAAGGGATTAAGCACACACGCACACTACTATGTCTGCCCATTCTATCCAGGATCTTTTCCGTGTTAACACGCTCACCCTCACGTCCTTCCTGTCGACTCCACTTTCACCACGACCTCACTTCCTGCTGGGCCTGGGAAACAGGAAGCAGCTGTTCCTCTTGGCAGAAAAAGGGGGGAAGGGAGGAGAGGGAGGGGGAAATAATGGGCAGGAGGTAAGGGGGAGAGGGAGATAAATATAGGAGGGGAAAAGGAGGGAAGAGGAGAAAGAGGAAGGAAGGAGAGTGATGGAAGTGAGAAATGATGGTGTGAGAGAGATAGAGAGAGAGACAGAGGGTGAGAGCTGGTTGGTGGGAGGTTAACAAGTGGGTGGTTTTCTATTTTTCTTCTAAGAGAAAAAGAATTCCCAGAGAGCCAAGCAGCTTGAAAACATGAAAAAAAATGATGGATGAAGGAAAAGAAGGAGAAAATAAAGAAGGAACTGAAGCTAATTTTTTAGAGTGAAACCAGGTGTGAAAAACAACATGGAAGGAGACAAAAGAGAGGGAAGGAGACAAAAGATAGGGGCAAAAGGAAGAGAGTTAAATCATGAAGGAGGAGAGAAGATGTAACAGGTGTCTAACATTCACATGAGTTGGATTAGATTAATCCAGGAAGATGATGGAAATACATCGTGAACAGCAGTATTTCTCATTTGTTCAAAGGCCTCAGATTAAATATGTTAACTGTTTTCTAGTAGTAGTAGAGTAGAGTGACATTGTTATAGCATATCATCTTATACTGGACAGATTAAGTCTGATTATGACCCTGGATCCCCCTTTTAAAATCATGAAAAATGCCTTTATTGGATAGCGACAGTGGAGAGGTGACAGGGACATTGTGGTTTCATGGTCTAACCTAAGTATTAACAATGTTAATATTACTGATAGAAGTGACAGACCAAGCTACAAAACAAGACCCAAATTAGGGTTGGGGGCTATGGAATGTATCGTCAGTGAGGGTCCTCACAAGTATAGACAGTACTGTGTGTGTGTGTACTTTCAGACGGCAAATGGCAGCGAGAGATGACAAAAACCAACAAAACATCCAAGCTGCTGGAGAACTAACACTTAAGCTGTGATGGTTGGTGTGTGTGCTGGTGTAGGCACTGGTGTGTGTGTTTGTGTGTGTGTGTACAGTAGAGTAGTAGGTCATCAGTCGACTGTAGATGGAGATTAAGTTTTTTGCCAAAAAAGAAAAAAGTAGGACAGCTCGTGTCTCTCATACAAACTCTCTCTCTCTCTCAGCCTCCCCTCTTTTTCTCTTGCTCACTCTCTCTTTCTGGCTGAGTCGGTGCAGCTACATGGACGTGACCCTGATCCCCTGAAATCTCCTCTAATCTACACACACACCATGATAGGCATCAGAATCGTCAGATAGTCACAAAAACAGTCGATGAGAGTCTTTCTGCAGGAGAACACGCTCACATTCTCATGGTTAAATATAGCTACAGGAATGTTTGCCTTTTCCCATCATGCCCATGGTTGTTCAGATGCTGGCTTGACCCCAGACTGGCTGGTTGTGATCTTTTTTAATTCATTTATTTTTGTCTACATTTTTGTCCCACAAGCTTGATAATGACGTCAGTCTGTCTGTCCAACACTGTGGTCCACAGAAAACCCTCTCAACAGCCACTGCAGTCGCTTTCACAATGGCAGACTTTAACTAATAATCTACCTAACAGTGAGACTTCAGATAGACGTCTACATTCATCTGTCACAAAAACCAAAGCTTGACTGCCTTAAGTGGGCTAATTATCTATGAATTCTGGGTAAATAAAGACCTTTTTTAAAACAAAAGACATGGCTGACTGAGTAACTGAGTCAAACCATTCATCTCTGATCACCCCAGCAGGAAATGTTTGCTTTCTGGAAGGAATCAACCCTTTTTAGTAGGAAAATTCAGTGAAGAATGTTGGAATAAACGAAACTTCCAGTAGAATAAAAGCAGTGCTGTAGTACTCAAGTCCGGTCTCTGTGAATCGTTTTTTATATTGCCTCGGATTTGTCTTGGACACATTGGTATTTGCACTTTCACTTGTCTCTGGCTTGGCCATTTGTCTCACCAAATATTCTGGTTGGTCTCTACCAAGTCTACAAATTATTACTGAAGTAACTTCCACCTTTAAAACA